ACTAAACAAAAAAAAAATTAAATATACTAAAATTATACGGCAAAAGTATAACGACATTTTGTTATCTTCTACTCGAGTCGAGTGTTTTGAAATGTAGTCCCCCCGAAAATAAACAAAAAAACAAAATGATTTATCTTGTTTTATTTCACTTTTTTCTCGAAGAAGCAAATTCAAAATTTTGTCTCTATGGAGTAAGCATCAACTTCCATATCCTTTTCAAAGACTTTGAAATTAATACTTGTGGAAATTTACTTGGAGAATATTTTCTTATGAAAGTGATATTAACTAGTTTAATGCCCTTATTTGGTCCATCAATTTGTTGGATTAATGCCAAAATAATTCTTGAACTTACTTTAGTACAAAATACTGATAATAAATTAAAATTGATAGAAGCTCAAGCTTGTTAATGTAGCATCGAGCACAAATATAAAGCTACTTGACTTAGCTTTGTTTTTGGTATTACATGAAACAGATTTACAAAAGAGAAGAAATTATAATCCCTTCACCTTTTAGAAGGAATGCAGTTTTTAATTTCTGAGTCAACTCTTGTAACAGGTTCCACCAAACAACATTCAGTAAATGACATGAGAACTTTCCGGAGTAATATTCCACCTTATCACCAGTCATCGTCAAGGCTAGCGCGATGGAAGCACAACACAGTACAGACAAAAATGAAGAATGATGTAAATTCAATGAACATTGCACCTGTCTCAATCATGTTTGCATGCCTAAGGATGATGGGAATGGCAATGCTCCCAATGGCTGAAGCTCCTGTCAGGAATTTTGCAGCACTTATCCAACTGCAAAAATGTTTATACAAAAATGAATATCAAAAGATGAAGATTTGAAGCAATGAAGACAACGGAGGAAAAAGAACAGCTCTGTTAATTATTGATGGGTAAACTGTCCTGGTAGCTAGCTCCAGGTTGCAAATTGACAAAACACTTTTTTTGACTCAACTATTTTCAACAAATGTACTGCAGGGCAGCGGACACCAATCTATTCTGAAAGGTAGATTTTCTTTACATGGAAAGGTCGTTCACAAAGCAGTAGCATGGTGGGCCAAGAATTAGGTGTGTAGTAGGCAACAGAAAATTCATCAGTTTCGTTTCTTCTTCTTTTCTATGAGAACAAGCTATTGTTCTGTATCTAGCCAGGTTTCAAGGAAACTCAAAATGAAATGGAAAACTGGATTATTTGGTGTCCAAGTCAATCTAATGGCAATGGCATTTTGTGCTTGTAAAAGAAACAACAGCTATGTATTTCTATTTCTGTACAAGAGGATGGGAGAATAGTTTTTGAAAAAGCAAAAAAATAAAAATGGATAAAGGGGAGAGACAATTTTAGTATAGGCTATTCCCATATAGACACATTAACTTAAACCTTCTGTTGTAATTAGAATTACAAAAGTGGGAAAAAAAGGATAGTGAGAAGTATAGATTTATTAAAGTGATGAAACATGATTTATTTGAACTCTTGCCTATATTTAGAAGAAGTCTAAGACAAAGGTGAAAATTCATGAAATTACTTGCATCCAGAGTATATTATGTCATGCCAAATAAAATGACTCACCAATAATAAAAACATCATGCATGGTAATAAAGCACATACAGCAAAAAGAATCATCATGGTAGTAGTATAAAGAAAGAGACTATATTTAATTAGAAACACTCACCCCCCACCATCACGGCTCATAAGAAAATGAGTGGTCCCACCTCCAAAGAATAGACAAGGCATAGGGACTAGCACGTACATGAGAGCTGCCATAAAATGATAAAACCATTTAATCAACCTTTTCAAATGCAATTTAATCTAAGTGGGATAAATAAGCATGATAACCTCCCTTGCCTGAAAGCATTGGCCACCAGTTGCCATATATTGCACAAGCCTGACATAAAATAGCAAAAAATAGAGCATTAGGAATCATGGTACACTAACTTTGTCAATAGTTACAGCCTTCAAGAAAAATGAATTTCCATTAGCTTTTGCCATTCCACCTGATTTGTAATATAATGCTGATTTAACAGGACAGTGTGTGTGACTAGGGTAGGAAACCCTTTTAAATGCAGACAGTAACCTTAATATAAAATTTCATAAGTGATGTTCCTTTAATTTCATTCAAAGAAATATCCTATCAAAGAGCCTTATACCTTTGTTTTTTTTTTTAGCCAGAAAAGAGCCTTATTACTTGATACACTTTTATCCACAAGAGCAATTCTAAAGACTAAAATAGTTGTGTAAGACAACGTCTTCCTATAGTTGCAATTATAAACAACTGCAAATGAGGTAGATTGTCTCTCTTATGAAGCAGCTCCAACAGAAAACCATTATTTTGCAACAATACAAAAGGAAAAGAACTGAGAGATCAAGTAGGTATGGTCATGAATTGTAACATCTTGTGAATGCCATCACAATGGATAGCTAAGAAATTTTGAAAAGTGTCAGGAGCTAATGTTCTAAAAATTTGAGTAATATTTGCAACTCATAAGCAGCTAAATCACAGAGAAAAGAACAAGAAGAATGTAAAGCCTCTTAAACTCTTGAAATAAATGAATCAGTTAAACATAAACACCCAAAAAAACAGGGGAAAAAAAGTTCTAGATTCACTTTAATAATGTTAAAGTGAAAATTCATCAATGTAAAAAGACAAAAATGAGTATATAATACCACAACAAGGGTAGAATAGAAACCCTCCCTCTCACAAAGACAGACACCTGTTTAATTTTTTTTTTCCTATACCTATTCCCTAGCCAGGTGCTCACAAGCACTGATAGCATAAGGCAAACTGATCCCCAAAAAATACATTTCTCTCATTGAGTTGACCAACAATTGATTGCACTTTGGATAAAACAAATACTTATGGATAAAATTTCTCATGATAGCCATAGGGGTGGGTACCATTGTTTCAACCACATAACATCCATGCTTCTCAAGGCAAAGAAACTTTTCCAATTTCTTTCAAGAGAGCCCTTCTTTTATTTCCATAAAAAGCCATCTTAGCCTGAATGAAGATAGCAATTTCATATGTATCTCTAAATCTCCAGGGCTTAATTCCAAATGGTCCCTATGACCATACAGGTATGTAATATCACCACCTAATAACTCTTCATAATAGGACAAGACTAATACTGTAAATACCCCAATGATAAGTTTACTAGAAATTCAAATGAGCCAACCAAAGGAAGTTGACATTGAACTTTACTTTGCCTGGCATTCAAAGCACAGCCTTAACTTTGAGATGCTTGAGTCACACATATCGACTTGTACCAAGCATATTTGCAAGCCTTATAAAATTTTCCATTAGTCTAGGTTGGTTAACCCAATAAGCCTCTGTTAACCAATGCTCAGCCCAAAAACCACAAACTACAAGAACGGTCAATAACACACAACATATAGTTTAAAGCATGCACTGCTTAACCAAGAAATGCTCAGCCCAAATAGCAAAAGCTACAAAAGTCAACAAAATAATACTAATTAGATGTATTATCGTCAACACTACATTGTAGATTATAATTGGATTCAAAGGAAACAATTAAAAAAAAATCTAAAAGATATAGGTGACATACAAGATACCCTCCTCCCCCTTCTCCCCCCTGAAAAAAGTATAGACATACATACCAGAATCTGTAGCAGTATGCTAGCTGAGAACATAAAAGCAAGTCCAGCAAGCCTGCATATTAAACACATTTAAGTCACATTAAACACATTCAGTTAAGCAGTACAACGAGGCCAAAATTAACCATTTAAAGTTTTCAGCTTACACTGCAGAGGACACCATCCATTTGACACCCCACATCAGCAATGCGCATGAACAGAGATTTGTTAGTTTGAAACAATGTAAAATAACAGCAAAATTATGCCCCAATATGTAACAACAACAACAACAACACTCAATATACATTCAAAGACAAGCAATTGAATTGTGTTGAAAGAATAACCCCAACCCACGAACATTCAGGTCACTGTATACTTCTAACCTGTAGTCCCTTGATTTACAAACCCTTCTAAAATCTATTCAACACAGTATGTCGAAATTTCAGTAAATCATAAAATTATGTGATTGAGCTTATCCTCAACAAGATATTTGAGTTCTATAAAAATAAGACCGACCCAATTTTTGTCGCCCAATTTCATTCCTAAGGATTTGTTCCCT